AATAGAAAGTTGTTTGTCTGCTGCCAGAAAATAAACAAAGTCAGCACCAGACAGACCTAGGGAGGGCATGTTACAATTTGGAGGACCCCGAGTAAACAGCCACTTGCCAAATCTCCGTATTGGAGAGGGATCTTTGGTGCATTGCCTTGAGTGATGTTCTCATAGCATAGGCAGAAACATGTGGGACAGGCAGAGCACTTTCCACAAGTTGTAGTAATTCTCCTCTTGAGCAACTAATACTGGCATTCTCCAAAGCAGGTTGCAAACAAGCTTCACCGGAACTCGGGCCAACCAATGCCACAATGAGATTTTGGGTTACACAGAACCCTTGCTTGGGCTGGATATTGGGGTTGGGTGGAATGGAATGGGAAATCTGCTTTGGTTAAATAATTAGCATGTATTTTACTAAATGGTAATAGAGGAATCCTATGCAGACTCTTTGTTGTAACCTCTGAATGAAGTAGTGAGAAATTCCCATTTAATAAGACTTCATGTTCTTGTAATTGGTGTATTTGGTAAAGCACATTTTGAGATTGTGATCAGTTTTGCAGAAAGTAAGAGCTTGAGTAACAAAAACAGGAATGGAAAATGTTCTCTGAAAAACATGGCTTAGCATGTGATAGGAATATTTGTTTGGGTTTCATGTGCAAGATTTGAGGCTACACAAAGAATGACAAAGGTAAATTAGGAAAATGTGATTTTATTGCTTGTAAGATGAAGACATGATTTTGCCTTTCTACTCATGACCTCATTTTAGTGCTTAGCCATTTTATAATACTTCAGTTTTGAACAAGTTGGTCAGGTAGGATTTATATTTGGTGGTCAGGGGGATTTCAAAGGGCACTTTAAAAAAGAAAAAGAAATCTAATGGAAGTGTCTGCTTTGTCCTAACCTTCAAGTATGATACGTGGGTGTGTCTATCTAAAGTGGATCTATTTTCCTCCATGGTCAACAAAGAGACATGTTTTCCAACAGGCACATGGAACCACTCAGCACTGGGAGTGGCTGTCCTTCGAATTGCTGTTGCTTTCTCAACTTTACTGCCCCTGGATAGAACGGAGGAGGAAGAGGCTAGAGCTATGTTAATCATCCCATATTGTCTTAGCAGGATGTGGTTTCTCAAGTTGCTAAGGATGAGAACTGTTGCCCCTGTAAGGCTGCAGATAGCTGCAGTTACTCTGGAGCAAGGTTCGACAGTCCATTCTGTTGGAGCATGAGCGTCTACCGACTTGAGTGCATGGACTGAGTACTTGGATAAGGGGTGCCCCAGTGGCTGTCAGTCCAGCACTGCTGATCAAACTAATGTTTGCCTTATAGAGGACTCTTGGTGAGAGAGGCTGGATTGAGGACTTTTGATGAAATACACTGAAACTGCCTTTTTATCCTGGTGCAGTCCCGATCTTTTGCACCACCACAGCCTTCAGCCAGCCAGCTTAGTAAAAACAAGGCTGGCAGGTATGGCCTGATTTATCTCCTGGGAACAGCTAGAGCAGATCTCCACACAATCACATTTAGGATGGATTTGAATAGGTGAGAGCATCCAGATTGTCTACAGGTTTTTAACCTGGCCTTCCTGAGAGCTGATACAGTGCTATTCTATTGCCTGTATTATTTAAAGTAGCCTTACTTGCCGTAATTATTGTGGCTAGGAGAGCTGGTCTGAAGCAAGAACACTTCAAATTAGATTTTTTCTAGGCTCTTAAAAAAGTTAATTCACTTTTAGAATGCACACATTTAAAGCTTCAATCTTACGCAGTCTTGGCAGTAATTTCCCATGGAGATGAGTGTGACATACTTCTGAGTAAACATGGAAAGGATTGGGTTCCACAGTGACTTTTTACTTAGTTTTCCAAAGTCTTGCAATGTCTTCTGCCAGCTAATTACTGTTTATTGAACTAAACCTTGGTCCTCAGACAGTAACTTTTTCCATCTTAAAGTGGGTTGTCCCATTCAAGTGAAGAGCATGTTGTCTGAGTACTAAGTGGAATTACTACCAATGGAAACTATGCTGCAAGAGGAGTTGATAAAGCAGCTGCCTGTGCAAACCTCAGCTGTTTTTTCCATTCTCCAGAGCAAACTTAATTAGCATAGGGAAACTGACTAATGTGCTTACGTCACCTCTTTCCAGTTGAAGCTTACATTTTGTCCCTGACTGCCTGAAAGCATGTGGCAGGACTTTGTTCAGGAATCTGCTGTCGCATACAGGATGCTCTGAAAACTTTTTTGTTCTTGTTGAGGGGCTGGACTTGGTCTTCTTTATAAGCTCTCTCTACAGTACAAAACTACTTCTTCCAAAAGACATTTTTCTTGTTCTTGTGCTGAACGCTTGGCTTTCTTTCAAGGAAGCACAAGATGCATTTTAGGAACTTTGATTACATTTTTGGTTCCTTAATTGCTTGTGTTGCAGACAGCAAGATTTTCAGTCAACCTGAAATTAGGGTAAGATTTGTGGGGGGAAATTTTATTTTAGTGACAGGGTATCTTTGAATACTGGGAAATGTGGTTGTGATAAAAAGAAACTGAAGCAATTAGATCTTGAAAATGTATAGATGCTGCAATGTCAAAAATTTCAGACTGCAGAGCTTGCTGGGTTTCTGTAAGTTTTATAAATTCTCAGAGTATTTCAGGGTTGTAAGATTATCAGTATCCACTTTTTAAAAGCACTTTGTGTTGATTGTCTACAAACTCCTGAATACTTTAGATTATAAAGTAAATAAGAAATGTTAAATATTTACACTGCACAGAGGGCATCTGGCAATATTGGGGATGTACCACTTCTGGCTTTCTTTGGCTAAGTAACTGGGATAGTAGCTGCAATATGTGCAATGACTTAGCTGGTAGTTTTGTGCCGGGCATGAAAGACTAACACAGTAACCCTATACATGTTTAGTAAAACATACGCTCCATTCAGTCTAGCAGGACTTCCTCCCATATAAGTTTGTATGATTAAGAATTGAGGATAAGTATAAATACTTCAAACAACTTCAAAGGAATTGTAACTACCCAAACTCTGGCAAAAGTAGCTGTGTATCTTACATAAAAATATTGACTTGCATTTAAAATAGGAAGCATTTAGAATGTGCCAGGCCAGTGTTTTCTGAATTTAACATTACTTCAGTAGTAATTCCAGTTTATTTTTCCCAAAAGTGTATACTACATTCTGTTTTATGGTATCTGCTTTCAATTTATTTTAACATCTTGCCATTCAGTCTAGCATGGTGAGGGAGTGTTGTGCGACAGAGCTGGCAAGGAGTGAGAATTGTAGTTGCAACTCTGAATAGTGATAACTCCTTGTGCTTGTTTCTGTGTCCTTCTGATTAGGACAGGATCAAGGGGTTGCTGGGATCCTGGTTTATTGTAGTTTGTTCATAATTCTTCATGCCTCATTTAAAAAATATTTAGACCCAAAGTTGTCAACCAA